AAAGATTTAGCTGAATTTCTACAATTACCGGATAAAATAGATTATTATTATATAGAGCAGATGGACTTTTTATGTGCTCTGTCCCATCCAGCTATGATACCACCGATTGATATAATGGAAAATAGACCCGATATTTACAAGAAATGGTCCATAAGTATAGAAAAATACCGAAATCTATTCCAAGCATTATAAAAAATAAAAATAAATAGTAAATCTTAATTTAGCCTGAATCACAACTCCAAGGCTATAAATTTTTTCTGTTATATCCCATATGTTAGTAAATTTCAAATCGACATCCTACTTACCCTATAGGTATATATAAACTCTTTTTTTCTAGGCATAGGAGAAAAAAGCGTAATTAATTTCGATTTGAAAAAATATTTTTTATAGTGTATATAACCTAAAGAATTGTTCATAAATTACTCGACCTACTATAACATTAGATCATGTCAGCCATCGTGACTAAAATCGTTGAAAAATACAATCTCAACTCCAAGCTAAATATATTCGATCTCAGCAAATACACCTTAGAATTTCTTGAGAACCTTACTGATGATAGAAAGCGGAATCAGGCTCGACGACGTCTTCGGGATGGTTTTAAATTTAGCAGTGAACAGGTGGGTGTATTGATACCTAATCAGAGAAGTGGAAAAAATAAAACTATAAATTTGGTTGAAGGTAATTGTAGAATAGCTATAACCAAGCCCCCAAAAAGTTTAGAAGAAGAGATCGTCGGAGAGAAAGCAAAACGAATCTTGCAAAATAGATATGGGTTTAGTGAAGATCAAGTAAATGCCTTATTCACAATCCCGAAAAACGAAAGTAGACACAGTGTAACTACCTCAGATAAAAACGTAAATATTGTAATCGCCAATCAACTCTCTAAAGGAATGGAGGAAGAAACAATTGGGGATATGGCGCAACGGATTTTACGGGATAAACTTAGCATTAGAGATGTAAGAGCTGAAGCTTATGCCTTAGCCCTATCAGCAAAAAATGCTAATGCTGGCT